GTACGTTCACAGGCGTTCTTCCTATGCCCCCAACACGACACAGACCAACCAGACCAGCCAGACCAACCAGACTAGCGCACGGCGGGACGCCAAGCTTCAACAGAGCAAGCTTAAAGCTTTGGACTTAAGCTCCAACTTAAGACTAAAACTGGTCTGCTTGGTTTACCTGGCCGATTTGACTAGGCGGGGTGGTCTGACTAGTCTGCTACGTCCGGGCAAGTTGGTCTGCTTAGTCTGGTCTGTGCTTCGCTGGTTCGAACGTCTGGCTGGTTTGGTTGGTCAGATTAATATACCTGGCTGGTCTGCTTGATCTACCTGGCCGGTCTGACTGGGCCGTCTGGCTGGTCTGCTTGATCGTCGCCGGTGTCCTCGTCCTCGCCCTCGGCGTCCTCGTCGTCGTCGTCATCGTCGTCGACGTCGTCGTCCTGCCCCTTGCGTCGCCGCAGCCGGAAGCTGGGACCGAAAGCGCTGCTGCGTCAAGTCTGGCTGCGGCGGAAAGGGAGGTGGGGAGCGAGGGAACTCAGCAGCCATGTCAGTACTTATGCCCAAAAGCAAAGTAAGGCGCTGGGGCATAAGAACTTTTCGCCTCGAGCGGCTTAGAATTGTAATCAGCTCTCTCCGATACCCTAGCGGCGATTGGACCAGTAGGGGCACGGGTCGCAAGTGGCCGCAGAATCTCCAGGATGGCTGGCGGTGGAGCTCGGCATGCTTGGCCCTCCACCAGGGCTGGACCTAAACGTTATTTTTCGTTTTGTGTTCGTTCGTTGTTCGGTTTGCTCTACCTGTTTTCCTGTCCCCCCTGCCAAGACGAACAACAAAACACAGCCGAAGTCCAGCAACACAGCGTTTACGTCCAGCCCTGCCCTCCACCAAGGCCCGAATCTGGAGATGCACACCTCCCGCCGAAATCCCTGGGGAGGGGACCACGAGGTGCCGATACCGCTACTCCCCGTACCTCTCCCGGGGTGCACTCTGACTAGCATTTCAGGGGCCTCCCAGGAGGCCCAAGAGAGCGAAGACGAGGGACGGGAAGCAGCGGTGCCACTTCCTCCTCCGAGTCCCCGAAGATCGACCCCCCCCGGGCGGTGGTGACGGATGGGTTGAAGGTCGCTGGGGGGGCAGCGTTGTTTCCAGGGCCAGATCCCCGTACGCTCGGCGGGCGAGCTTGATCGGTCAACAGCAATCCTTACCGCCGCCCTTCGCGAGAAGCAATGATTTCAGGTTTGCTCTTGCCCACGATTGGGCTGCTCATGCTTGCTCTTGCCCTACAAAAGCATTGCCCTCACCCCCGTCGCCCCAGAAACACAGACCGCGTTCGCTGCCCCTCAGCGAGCTTCAACGGATGGGCCCCCCGCCTCGGACACATCCACACCGACACGCAAGTGCCGACGCGCGTCGGACCTCGCGCCAGTGCGCGCACGCAGTCCCAGACGCACAGCTCGGCTCGCTCAGGCACGCAGCCGGCCAGCGGCCGCCACTCGAGAAAGAAGCACGGCCGACAGGCGAGACGTGGCGGAGAGCCCAGAACCCTCCAGTGGGCCGCAGAAACAAAAACAAAAACATACTAGCACGACGTATTGATGTTGAAGGCGCACGTCCGATGAGAACACATAGAAGGGCTCCCAACCTCGCGCTTCGCGCTGCGCGAAGCGCGGAGTGCGAATAGTTTCGCGCTCTCGCGCCGCCTACCGAGGGAGAAGAAGAGGATGAGGAGGAATCGGAACCGAACCGCGAAGCGCGAATAACTTCGCGCCCTCAAGGGCGCCCTTGGTACAGTGCAGGAGCTTTCTAGCACATATTTGTCCGAGCGTACTGCCAGCCGGAGAGCACCAGCCAAGGAGCTTCTGCTGTATAACATTTCCGAGACCAGCGCGTCGCCCTGGCGAGGCCGACGCACACGCAGAAGATGTACAGTAGGAGCTCGACCACAAGAAACCTCCCACAATAAACCAAGCCTTGAGACCCTAGGACGTCCATTGATGTTTGGTGTGGAAAAGTCACGCTTTCCATTGCAAAACCATCGAAAACCAAGAAACCCAGGGCACCCTTGAGGCAAGCAGGGTGTTTCTTGGCATGGGTTTCCACTGTAATATGTACGTATGTTCAGGAGGTACCGATCCAAAATGCTGCCCAGCGGCTTCAAATACCGGACCATGGCGAGTTGCGACAATGGCAGCTCGAACAGATCGGTCTCTAGGATCACTCCCAGAGTCCAAACGCACCAATCTCCCGAGCTGCGTTCAGCCGTGGTGACCAGGACCCCCCCCTCAATGCCAACTTCCGCTGTCGCAAGAGAGGACTCCCATATAGGGTCCGAGTAGATAAGGTCGGAGGATCGCGCCGCATCGCCAATGCATCGGCGTTTTATCGGGGATGCATCGGCGACGTCGTCGATGCATCGGCGGTGTCGGCATGGAGAACATCGGGCTTGACATCGAGCATCGGCGATGCGACGCGATCCTCCGACCCCACCTACTCCGAAGCCATTTGGGATGCCTAG